GTGTGTGTGTGTATGTTTGCATGCGTCTCTTTCCACAAGAAAAGAAGGTTAGGGACCCAGGGCCCTGTGAGTCCACAGGCCTTGTGCTCTGTCTCTCTGAGGGTTCATCAGCTCATTAAGGAGACCTCCGCTCCCGTTAAGGGCCCAATTAAGAAGCAAGGTGGTGAGGCTCATTTGGATGGCAACACTTCACTGAATTCCTGAGGCAGCAGAATTCAGGGCTTGACAATGAGACACAACGTCTTTCACACCAGCACAGCTAATTAGTAAATGACTACGCTTGAGAAATAACATACTTTAATCGTTATGCCATTAGGTGTTTGTAGTGCAGTGATGTTTGTAGTGCAGTGATCACAAAATGCACCACCATAGAGGGACGTGTGGCTGTTGAACATACTGAGCTTTCTCTAATGTGTGTGTGTACTAACAGAAAACAAATCCCAGAGCTATCCATGTGCTGAGAGTATAAGCTGGGAGCACAGAGGGGCCAGGGGATTTGGGAAGAAATGAGGGAATGCAACATGCTTACTGGGAACGGGTGGAATATGAGAAACGGGGAAAGAAGGAGATTGCAAGAAAAAGATAGAGCTGAAGAGGGGGAGATAGAGCAGAGATTGGGTGAGTGAGACAGATGGAAGGGGTGATTGGTCATCACAGAGCCTTAGGACAGCTGTTCTTTGATATATTAGTGGACACAATGACCTAAAGCCAGCCTGCAGTCACAGAAAATAGGGACCCTGTTTTTCTTGAAGGGGAGGGGTGGGTGGACGGGGTTCTGCCATTTGTGGACGAGCGTTAGCAGGCACGGGGGATGGGGGAGTTGTTTCTAAAATTACGAGCATGAAGTGACGCATCCAGCAATTATTCCGGAGGCTTTCTAGTTTTGGAGAGTGCTGAGGAAAGGGCTGTAAAATGAGCATGCTCTCAGATGGGAATTTGCTTTTTGCTGCACTATCATTAGCAATTCTAAACTCGTTTGTCAATTAATCAATGTTTTAACAAATGCCATCAAGTAGCTTGACTACTGCACAGCTCCATCCACTCTGCAAAACAATAACTTTTATGACACTGAATATTCGTTCAGTGCTAATGAATTGGGTTTTTACCACATTGAAGCTTGTTTTATTCTGTTTATCAACTGGTTTTGAACAATAATTGTCATTTATTGTAACATTTTATTGTATTTTATTACAGACAAGGGCGATATGACTTCATTATTCTGTTTTCTGCATATCTTCAAAATACTCAGTACAAGACTGTCATGTTGTCCTTCTCTTTTAATAAAACCGTATTAGCTGCACACGCTGACAAAAACTGGTTTAAAACATCCCCAAAGGTGGATAAAACAAAAAATAGTGTCAAATAATAGTAGTCAAACTGTCACTCTGATACATGGAGCACAGAAAGGTCTTTCCACAGTAAGACAGAGAGAGAGACACGCACAGAGGACATCCCTCAATGCCACTGCAGGAGATGGGCTCCTTCCTCCTGGGACTAGACTGGTGAGGCGTGTTTGAAAAGAGCTGCGTCTGCTCGTGCTCTGGGCAGCAGGTGTGAAAACTCCCCACCAGAGCTCCCGCACTCTTCTGTTATTACATCTTTTTAGGGCCGTGAAAGAGGGAGCAGATGAGCCAGAGGGAGTGAGAGGCAGAGTGGGAGTGTGGGATTGTGTTTCTTTTGATTGATTGCAGCCCCGTGACTAACGCATAGATTTATAATAATTTTCCTTAGCAATGCCCAATTATGCCTGTCTGATAAATTACGATCTCTGTTGTTTGGTGCGCCGTTTTTCTCTTCTCTTTGTCTTAAGACAGTTTGGAAAGGGTCTTAAGGGTTGACCTTGCACTTCCTTCAACAGTTTTTTGACAATACCCCACATACCATTTTAAAATGTTCTTGTTACTCAGTCTACCATATCGACAATTTAATTTAATTTAAGTTATATTGTGAAACCACATCAAAATTAAAACATTGAATGCTGCCTGTGTTATAAAAATATCCAATTTCTGAGTTAAAATAAATATACAGGCATGGGGTGCTTTAATAAGACAGGGGGCACAGTTGCAAGTGTCTGTGAAAGAAGTGATTTGGCATGCAGGTGAGAGTGCACTTTTCCAACAAACTCTCTTGCACACTCATTGCTGGTGTGTCATTGGTTAAGCTACTTAGGCTACCATGCCTGAGGTTGCTGACCCCTGTGATAATATAGTATATTAGTGGAGTATCGTAAAACATACCATTATCTACAATATAAGTGAGGAATT